TTCCTCCGGAGGAAAGGGTTCTTCGCCCAGCGAGTGGTCGGGCACTAGAACGGGCTCCCCAGGGATGTGGTGGCAGCCCCGAGGCTGAATGGTTGAGATATGTGCGGGTAACGGCACATGGAGGGGTTCTTGGGTGTCTTGCGCGGGCCCAGCATTGGACTCGGTGATCCTTATGGGTCTCTCCCAGCTGAGAATATTCTCTGATTCTGTTCCTCCCTCAGTCTTTGCGAGGACTCTGCCTCATGTTCTCAGGATCACTGTGACAGAATCACTGAGCCTCCTGAAGTGAAAGGGACTAAAGATCCTCCAATGAGTTAGGTTGGAAAAGAACTCTGAGACCATCGAGTCCAACCTATCCCCAGCACCCCTGGTCAGCTACATCAGGGCACTGAGTGCCAGGCCACTCCACCGCCTCCTGCCTGGGGCCATCCATTTCAATGTCTAATCACTCTTTCTGTGAAGGAATTCCTCTGGATACCCAGCCTGAACTTCACCAGATGCAGCTTAAGACTGTCAAAGCTCATCTCCTGTGCTGGCACAGGACACCCCCAGCAATCCCACCATGTGTCTGACAGCATTGCCCAAATTTCCTTGAGTTCTGTCAGGCTCAATGCCGTGATCACTGTCCTGGGGAGTCTTTTCTGGCTCCCCCAAGAGCTTTGGGAGACCAGCTTTCCCTTATACAGCCTGTCTGACCACTGGCAGCAGCCACCCTCAACATGGCTTTTTATCAGATTAATTTTTTTTTTCTTCTCTTCCAGCTGTTTTGTAGAACCTGGGTGGTATTTGGGCCCTTTAGTCCAGTTTATGTTGATTTCAGAGGGGTCAAGGTCTAAGTGCCGCTGGTTACAAAGTCTTGATTTTGGGGGTAAAAGTGGCAAATTCTGGTCCTTGTGGAATACATTAAACAACACAATCATGCTTTCTTTTAGATGGAGTTAAAACCAGAGTCTTCTCTGTGTTCACATATTTGAAAACTGTTTGAGTTTGTACTTACCATTCTAATAAAATATCTGAAACGAAGAGTCCACTTTTGTCCTTTTTCTGATCAGACATCCAGAGTTAAGGAAGAAATAGTGGTGCTTTAATCCTCAGCACATGCACATGCTCTGCGTTCTCTATTTGACTTGGGTAGCAAGTAATAATGAGTATTTTCCTAGAAAATACTAATTTTCCCAGACTGCTTTGGGTTGGAAGACACCTCAGAGATCATCTTGTTCTAATCCCAGCTGTGAGCAGGGACAGCTCCCACTAGGCCAGGCTGCTCCAAGCCCTGTCCAAGTGGCCTGGTCCATTTCTGTTTGCTTTTGGTGTAATTATGGAGCAAGTCCCTGTTGTGGGCACTCCCTGAGCAAACTGGAAAATCTGTCCAAAGACCAGAGCTTCAAGAAACAGGACAAAAAAGTGATCATTGTGGCTGGAGAGAGGAACGTGTGTGCAGCAGGAGAAGGGAGAGGCTGGGTGCCTGGGTGATGGGCACTGCTCCCAAGTCCATGTGATTGTGTATGTTCACATCTCGATATAGAAACGATGTGACTGTGAATCATCCCCGCCAGGAGAGCATGTGGGCAGGATGTTAGAGCTCTGTGCTTCAGCATCCCAGCACACAGGGGGCTCCTAGGCTGTACCTGTTAGGTGAGACCCAAAGGCAGCATGTCACTTATGTACATGCATGTGCACATCTAAGTCTTTGTGGGAATAGGTTTTTTTTATGTTGCATTTGGAAATTATGATTTTTTTTTCCCCTGGTAATGCTAAGAATGATCTTGTCTATCTGTTAAGAAGTGTATAGTCATTGAGAAGTAAAACCAGTAAGGTGAAAAGTCTCAGTTGAAGGACATGGATAAGGCAATATTCATATTTTCATATATATTATATAACTTAGGATACTCTTGGAGTGTAACACTGTAACCCAGGGGAAACACGGGGTTTGGTTCTGTCTTAGTTGAATGAAATTTGTTCTTCTAGTTTAAGAAAAAGTTGTACTTATCTTTTTCTTCCTTTGCTAACACTGAAATCTCACTAGAGTTCATGTGTAAGCTGCAGCATATTTTTGTTGGTGTTTTTATTATTTGTGTTTAATTCAGGTTTTACAGGAATTTTATGCAGCCCTCTCTGTTATGAGCATGGAGGAAAATCAAATATTGCCATAATGGAATAATCTCCCTCCTGCCCCCTACACCCTGTGGAATGTTCCCAAACCAAGGATCCAGCATTCACTTCCATCATTTTAGGGTGAAAAATTAAAGCAGACAGTCAGAGAAATTGTATCTGTTCTCCTCTCCTGTTTCTCATGTCACTGACACATTGTTTGTGAAAACATGAGGAGGGAAATCATATGCAAGGAGTGTGGCCTGTGAACAGATCCCATCTGACATCAGCATCACACATGCTGTTCCCTGCAAGACAAATTCCTTGGAAAGCTGTGGCGAGGAGCTCAGCAGAGCAATGACTGAGCACAGGCATTCTCCCCTGTCTCTTGATCTTCATCCTTGGCTACTCCTTCTTGCTGCTCTCTGGGGTTTCCATGAAATTGTAAGGTCAGTCTGTCTCTGCTTACTTTGTTGTGCATTTTTCCCTTCAGCTCTTTGCAGTGACTTCAGGTTGTTTTTCTTCCTCTTCTTTCAGTCTTGCTATTGATTATTGATACAGGGACAAAATAAACTCATTCCAAGCCAATTTGCATGAAGAAAAGCAGATGATTGTAGTGTGAATAGCTCAAGAATAGATCATTCTGCCTGTTGCCCAAGCAATATTCAGTGAGCCAGGCACATTCTCTGCAATAAAAACACAGTCCAAACTATAGCAGGATTTAATTGGAAAATCAGATGTTCTGTGATTCTTGATGGCTGATTTTCTGCCAATTATAAAGTAGGACAAGCTCCATTAGAATCACAACAATGCCTGACAAATCCTTCTTTACAGGTAATTTAATGGCTGAATGGTGGAGCTGTGGCCACAAGTGGATAAGAATCTCTTCTGAGGAGCTGTTAGTTTTACATGTGAATAATTTGGATTTGCAATGCCACTCAGTTTACATGAGGCTCCAGGTCTTCTGTTCCTGTACCTCCTGTCTTGGAGCAGGTAAAAGAAATAGAGCCCAAATGTGAGGCTCCTCCATGTCAGAACCAGAAGGAATTGGGAAAAGGTCAAAGCCAGTCAGAGGGAGAGGAAGAGGTGCAATTCATCTTTGTGGAACCTACCAGGTGCTAATTAGAAAGGAAAACATCTAGGGAATATAATTTATATTTTCCATACTCATTGTGGGAATGTACTTAGCCCTACAGTTTTCCTCCTCAAATTTTAATTTGTATTCTCAATCCCTGTGCTGCTGCTCAGGCCTCTAAGCACTCTGCATGCTCTTTGGATCACTGGATTGTTGATCTGCTGAAAACTGAAAATAGTTCATTCAATTTGCAGCAGCAGTGAATTTTTACAGATTTTTTTCAAGTATTCAGAATCTTAGGGGAAACAAAAAAAGACAGCAAATAATGGATGGGGTTTGGGGTTGTTCTGAATTTCTTTTTTTTTTTTCTCTTGATTATTGGGTTAACTGGCAAGGGCAAGAAGGGCTAGAAAACTGAATAAAGAGAAAAAATAATCCTTGAAAAAGAAACTCACATTTTTCAGCTCCAAAAGACATTTAGAAAAATAAAAGAGAAGCTATTTTCTACAAACTCTTTCCTTTGAAAAAGAAGTGAACAGTGGTCAACCCACTCTTCAATAACAGAAATATTTTTTATAATAGGCTGGACACTGAAACCATGAAGTTTTTTAGATTTTTAAGGCCAGTTCCTCTGCTGATTTTTTGAGTATCTGCTGTGCTTTGCAGATTTTCCTTTTCATATGTACTGTGTTCTGTTCTGTGGGCTGGGATATTAATAGGGTTTGATTTAAAGCACTTTCATGAATCACGTTGCAAGCTACATTTAGCTATTCCTAACTATTACAATACCTAAAGTTTTGAGGCAATCAAATGCCACAGCAGTGGGGGCCAGGGAAAAGAATTAGGGCAGGACATGAAAAGATTTGAATCCCTAGGAAATCACAAAACAGGTGTTTGTTACTCACCTGTGTTAGTTCCAGCAGTCTCTATGTATAGGATGTGTACTTTCCACAAGAGCAGGCAGTGATAGGATAAGGGAGAATGGCTTTAAACTAAAAGAGGAGAGGTTTAGGTTTGATATTAGGATGAAGTTCTTTACTCAGATGGTGCTGGGGCCCTGGCACAGGGTGCCCAGAGAAGCTGTGGCTGTCTCATCCCTGGAAGTGCCCAAGGCCAGGTTGGATGGGGCTTGGAGCAACCTGGGACAGTGGAAGGTGTCCCTGCCAATGGCAGGGGTTGCAATGAGATGAACTTTAAGGTCCCTTCCAACCCAAACTATTCCGGCATTCTATGATTTACTTCATAGAAATATTTTCCAGGCTTCCTGAATGAAAGATTGTTAATGTGAGAAGAAATAAACCATTTATTATTGTTATTAATAGTCCACGTTATCATTAAAAGTCCACTGAGCAAAGGGCAGTAAGGAAGCTGTTGATAGGCAGAGAAGATCACTGTAGATGTATGGCAGAACTTGTTATGGGAAAATAAAAACTTGAGCTGCATGAAACAGCAAAGTGAGGCTTCTGAGCTTTGCCCTGCCCTGAGGAAATGGCTCTGTGCTTGTCCCAGGGGTGACCAGTCACTTTTCAGTGTGCTTTGTCACTATTCACTGAGTTGGATCCTGTCCTGTCCGCAGTGGATTTGCTTTAGGGATGCTGTGGAGCTGAGTGCCAGCACCAGCAGAGTGCTTTGGTCCCTCAGGGATGCCCTGGAGGCAGCTGAGCAGATGGGCTCCTCCAGGGTGTTCCTGTGGCAGGAGCTCCCCTGAGAGCAGCTCTGCAGGAGCAGACCAGCAGCCCCTTCAGGGAAAGGAAGGGAGAGGACAACACACAAAAAAGAGGCAGCCAGAAGAGGAAAAGAGAGGCCCTAAATGGAGGAACAGCAGCAGTCATCTGTGTCTAGGGCTTCAAGTATAAGGATTTTGTCTACTCTGCATCGGGCTACAAAGCAATTACATCACAGACTCTGAATGGTTTATTCTGGAAAATGGATCCACATCTGAATAGTGGCTAACATTTGAGCAAGTGGGATTGGGAACTATGCCATAAATTTGCTTGATATCCAGTCCCTTTATACATCAGTTGCAGTGACAAGCTATGGTGTCTCCTTTTGTGTTCCAGCCTCTTCATTTCTTCACCAATGCCAACTGATACTTTTTTTCCCTCCTGTTATAAAAGCTTCTTTCCTCAGTAAACTCCTAATTTATTGATGAAAGCACAATGGTCTACCCCAAGCTAAGCCACTCAGAACAGCTCCAGCCCCTTACAGCTGTGTAGCACCTCCAGGGTGGGGATGCTGAATTCTGCTGGAGTTTTTCCAGGGGCTCCAGTCACTTCAGTGCTTTCAAGCTCTTCATTATGCTGTCTCCAGATATATTCTGCCCCTTGTATTTATTGATTGTTTTCCTTGCAAATCAGGTTGATAATAGCAACCAGATTTTTGGTTAATTATGTTTATATTACTTTCTTCATCAAGTGTTTCCAATCACTGTCTAGTGATGGCAGTGTTGATCATTATCACTGATCTGCCCTGGACTCCTGATTGATGTTTACTGAGTCCCACATTTGTTTATCATTAGCTCATGACACTCCTCATTTTAAGAAGCATTCAGAAGTTCAGTAGGACGTCTTAATGCTCTGAAAAGAAACTGAAAATGTATGACTTGCTAAAAAAGATCAGTATAAGTTGCATACAACAGATTACTGAATATGTTATTTGCTTTCCAAATTTTGATGTGCTAAAATAAAACCCTATCGTTTATACATGGTGACTTGTTTTTACTTGCTCTCAGCACCACACTTGGAGTCATTTCATCTTCTTCTGCTACAGTCATCTCGCTGGTCCTCCTCAGCTCTCCTCTGTTGGTGAAACGTTCCCCTCAAAACCACAGATAATCAATGAAGTTTTTATGATGGAAGAATGTAATGTATACAAGGAAAAAAACTCAAACCAAATAACTACTTCCAGAAACAAACCAATGTTGTCAATTAACTTAGAAGCTGCTTTTGAGCTGCTCTGAGATTTATACAGCTTTTCCCTCTTTAACATTTAGGCTGGGGCTTCCCCTAAAACAGGTGGAATTGTGCACATCTTTGAGAAGCCAGGTGGTTATAAGCAGTAGAAGATGAGGTTATTGTTTGTAAAATTCAGAATTATCAATCACTCTTATTAATTTACAGCCTCTGCAGGAGGGATTTTATTAACTCTATCCCTTGGATTTTTAGGATGCATTCTTCAAAAATCAGCATAGACTTAGAAAGGATAGGATCCACAGAGTAGAAGATAATGTGCAATTATCTTTATATGTATTTTATTACAGAGAATTTCACTAAGGAGAATAGAATCACCTCCCCAGCACATTCTCTTGTTACAGCATTCTGTAAATGTCATATAAAAGCACTGCCCTCTGCTGCTCAGGGGCTTTCATTAGCAAGTATTTAATTAGCAAAAAACCCAACACTTCTTTTTGGATGGATGATTGTATGGGCTTGCCTGTAAAGAAAAAGGACTCAGTCTTTTTATCAAAAGAAAAATGTTAATTTATAATTTCTGAGAAACACAAATCACCTATGTTCTTATGTTTATATGGTGAACTGATATTTTGTCAAGAGTTTAGAAGTAGCTTTATGCATCTTCTCAGGCAGTGGCAAAGCAAAACACATTTTCAAGTAATTGCACCTTTCAAAACTATCATTAAAATCCTCCATTTTGTGGAATTGTGGCCACAGGAAGGCAAAGGAATAGGAAGATTTCAAGCTGTGAAGATGCAATTGCAGAAAAAAAACTTGATTCCTAAAGTAAAGGCAATGCAATCTGTCCAAGCTGTCTGGAGAAAGCTCCTGTTGCTATTTATCTGCTAATTTTACAGTACATTTTATTAAGAAACTTAAGGTGCAAAACATGTGAAAACAAGCTGAAAAAGATACAGAAATACTGTTAAGACAGTCACAGCAAAATAGGGATGTGACAGCCATTATATCATGGGAGTCAGGATGTCACACCTGGCACTAGACTAGGTTTTAACAAGATCTGGTAATTTCTGGAGAAAAGTTGAGCTTAACTTTATACCTTTGCCTTGTGACTCCATTTTATAAAGATGAGATTTGGACTCGTTAGCCAATAGAGAACTTCAGCCCATCCCAACCAATTGGGGGCAAGTAAGGATTATATAATTGGCCTCTGAGGCAGGTGGGCTCACTTACTCCTCAGCAGTTTTCTGCTTTGGGGGAGCCATCTGAGGAGAGAAGATTTTTGTGTGAGGCTTGTGATGCTGAGAGAGTTTTAAATTATGGAAGCTTTCTGGGGTTTAGTTAGCATGTTTCAGGTAAAGCTGGGGTTTTTTAAGGAATCTTTTATTGTGCTAATTGTTGGTGTGAGCTATAATGATGTTTTGTCTTTGTATTCCTATGTAAGTAATAGGCTGTGGTAGAATATTGGTTTTTAGTGGTGTTATAGCTGTTTTAAATTTTTATTTGGTTTGGGGAGTCTCATTAGCAGAGCTAATGAATCTTCTACACAGTATATGAATGTGCAGGTAAACCATAATGGGCTTCTTAATAAGCAAAACATAAATATACTTGTTCTCCTGCATTGCACCTTGTATTTAAAAAAGCCTTTTGTGGAAGAAACAATTTTCTTTGTGAAGACACAAAGCAAAATCTGTGAAGTTGCTCTCAAGGGCTTTCTAGGTGAAGGAAGGCTAAGATAACCTTGCCATCATCTCTGTGCAACCCAAAATTTGTTGTAGTTTAAGAGTTACGGCTTTTCCTTTGTTAAGGAGCTGTGCCTGATGAACAAGCTTTTGTGTTCTGGGAGCAAAATCTGCTGTGAAGGCAAACAATCTGCCTCTCCTCAGGCTGCTTAGCTTGCAGATTCTGCTGGGCATCAGTGACTGATGGCCTCTGAGCTTGTTTCTCTATGGACTTCTCCATATACCAGTGATACAGTTCTTGAGAAGCTTCTTTATTGTATCAAATAAAACACATTTTCTGAAAGAGACTTTTAGAGCCTTTTTTTCCAGCCCTGGTTTCTGTCCCTGTCATTATTGAAGGGATTTTTTGTTGCTGATGAACTTTCTCTTCCTTGTTACCTTTTGTTATGAGAGGCATGTGGTTGAGTAAGTTTGATTTTGCTTTTAAAATCTCACTAAATATGTAATACCTATGGAGGATAGCTGTGAGTTTTGTGACTAAAATGACCTGTAAGGTTTTTTCCTCCCTAAATGTGCTGCAGCCCTTAATTAAGAGAAACAGTTCTTCAGAGATGCTTCTGGCCTGAGTGTTTTTTTAATCCTCCTCAGAGTCTCTGTGATGATGTTTGCTGCAGAGTAGCTGCTGTATCTGTGGTCTCCTCTTGTTTGTGTTTTACTGTGCACTGCTGTAGTTATCTGTTATTTTAATGTGCTGTACCTGCCTCAAAAAATTGTAGCTTTTAACAGTGAGTATTTATATTTTCATTTCCTGTGTGATGTCTTTTGGTTTGTGCTCTAATAATGCTTAGCCCTGATAACCAGTAAATAGGAAGTTGCACTTCCTTGAGTTGAACTCACCTATTGAGTTTGGTGGGGAAGGGATTTGGAGGGTTCTTAATTTTAAAGAAAGGGGATTGATTGCACCTTTCACTTAATCACATTGTGTAGGGACTTCTCCCCAAAGGAATTAGATTGTTCCTGGTCCTCAGTTGTGTCACTGTAGGGCCTTTTGAAAGTGTCTTTGCCAGCCACAGGGGAATTGTTGGAAGCAGTGGCTGAGCTGCAGTTCAGTTTAATCACCCAGGGAAGGGCTGTTACCTTAAGCAAGGTGAGAGCTTGGAGAATCAAGCACTTGGTAACTCCTTTAATTTCCTCCTTCCTCTTGCATGGAAGTAGCACAGGCAGAATATGACAAAAACTAGAAAATCCTTGATTTAAGTACGCCACCTCATAGAAACTGTACCTAATTATTTTAGGCTTGGAAAAATTGTCTTTTATAGAGCTCTTTCTAGATAATCATTGCTTAATAATCATGACAATAAAAACATGAGGAATGTGATGTTTTGTGTGGTAAATAGGAGATGGAGACATTATTTGTTTGGGTGTGGCTGTTCTCTGTTTTGTCATGACATGCCTGGTTTAGGGAATAAAAAGCAGAGCCTGTTTCATGCTAGTTTAAGGGCTTAGCAAAATGGCTGGGGATTTATCTTGCCAAAGGTTCAGCTTGGGAGGCAGTACAGTTTTTTTGCCCTCCCCTCTCTGTTCCATCTCTCCTGTAAATTGGCAGAGAGCCTTGGAAAACTCTGGGCTCTTCCCACCAGACATCAATTGAAGGCTCAGCAAAACTCCAACAGCAAAGCACAGAAACACCAGATCTGTGACTGGGCTGCCATTCCCAAACAAGCTGGGCTTTGTTGTGAGCAGGAGCTTTCTGGAATGGGGAATAATAGCACGGGCTGGGAATGCAGCTGACTGCCCTGGGCTCTCCCATCCTCTCTTGCAGAGCACGGCCATGGGGGATGCAGCACCAGCAGAGGAGCCCAGGGCTGCTCGCTGCAGGCTCTTCAATTCCAGCATGAGGAGCGTGGCCAACAGGCTCAGGACCTTCCAGCAGTGGCCCCGCACTGCCCCTGTGTCTGCCCAGGACCTGGTGGATGCTGGATTTTTCTATGTGGGCCCTGGGGATGAAGTGCAGTGTTTCTGCTGTGGTGGTGTGCTGAAGGACTGGAGACCTGGGGATTGCCCCCTCATAGAGCACATGCATTTCTTCCCTTCCTGTAAATACATCCGTGGGGAGAATGCTGGGAACCAGGAGACGCTGTCCCTGCAGGAGATCTTTGACACTGTGGATGGGCAGTTCCTGAGTGTCTTGCAGGGGATTGTCAGTGAGGAGACAGCCATGCCCAACGAGCCAGAGTACCCTGAGATGGTGACAGAGGAGATGAGACTGTCTACATTTGAGAACTGGCCGCAGAATTCCAGCATTCATCCAGAGCAACTGGCTAGAGCAGGGTTCTTTTACACAGGTAGGTACTCTGGGGAAATGTTTTTAACTCTTATTTGAGTTAACTTTTGAAAGTTTCACTGTTGCTTTTACAAATACCTGTGTGCACATGTATTGTAGTTAAAAACCACATCCTTCCTTCTGCCTGTGCTGTTTCTCTTGCTGCTTGTGCAGAATTCATTTCAACTTTAATTTCTGTTTGGATACTGGGGGTCCACTAGTAAATACTTCCTTGCCAGCAGGAGAGGAAAAAGTGATGTGTTTTAAACAGAAAAGTGATGTTTTACAAACAGAAAAGTCTGTGTTTTAAGGTCCATTGAGTATATTTATTCCTTGCATTTTTTAAAAGGACTTGAGGAGCTTGCTTGTTGGGTCATGTTTTGGGTAGGCTCTGTCTTGCACTGAAGCCTCTTCTCAAAACTCCAAACCTGAGTGACAGCTGTATGGAGTCAGCCCTTCTGGCTGTGGCTTGTTCCTCTAAGGACTCTTCATTTGAAATACAAAAATCAGATACTTTTTTTGTTGAGGAAAATTGGCAATATTTATTGTAATCACATGCATGTGAGTATCAATATAATATTATTATTTCCTTTTGAGAATGCTTTGCTGGTTAGGTAACAGGTTTGAAGAAATACTCCTCTCTGAATTAACCAGTCAGAGGAAATATTTGCACTATGGCAGATTGTGGTTAGTGAACAAAGTGTGTTCAGGGGTGTAACTAATTACAGCTCTGCTCCAAAGGCAGGCAGGGGGATTGGCTGGGGGGGTTGTGCATGGGAGCGTAGCTGCTCCCATGGATGCTGCCTGTGAGCTTGTGATCCCCTTCTGGAATCATCTCAGCCAGCTCTGGGAGCTCAGCCTGAGTTCCTGCCCCTGTACAATGTGCACTGTGTTAGTAAATTGCCATGTGTCCATCAGCCTGTGTTTTGTGCTGAGTCTCACCCAGGGTTAGTGTAGGGCATGTGGTGTCTCTGGTGTCTCTTGTTCTCCCTTTCAGGACGAGGAGATGTAGTGAGGTGTTTTTACTGTGATGGAGGTGTGAGGAGCTGGTCCTTGGGAGATGATCCTTGGAGGGAACATGCCAAATGGTACCCAGAGTAAGTCAGTCTTGCTTAACAAATACCCCCAAAAATAGGTATCATGCATTTCACATTGATACTTTCTTTCATAGGACAGGAATGTTTATATCCTCTCACCTTAAAAGCAAAATAAAATGCTCAAGCTCAGGTGGAATGGCACAGTACAGACCTGAGATTCTCTAATTTGACCTAGAGTTCACCATCTAAGAGTTCAATTAAAATAACTTTCTTTGGCATCAAAGAAGAGCTTTTATTACTCCTACTCTGAGGTACAAGACGAAATGTACTGTAAGCCTTGGTTTTCTGCAGCAGTTCTTGTTTCTTTCCTGTGAACTGCTCTCTCATCACAGTTCCTGTGGTCTGCTCTAAAGCATGTTACAACTGAGCTCCTCTTGGGCCAAAATGAAGATTGAATTAAGGGGGAGGGAGGGATCATGATCCCCTTACTGTCAGCCTTTGTGCAAGAGGTGGTGAAACACCTGATACCCTGTCTTTAATGGACACATAGAGGTTTGCTCATTGCCCAAAACACCCTTCTAAATTTCAAATTGCTGCTTTCACTTGGGGGAGCCTGTACTAATGTATTTCAACTGTTCTGCTCCTAGGTGTGAATTTTTACTGCACTCAAAGGGGAGAGAATTTGTTAACAGCATTCAGGGAACCTTTTCTGGCACCCTGCTGGCTCCTGTGAGTCATGAACATTTTGTGTGTAGTGGATTAGGTTTGGTAGATGGGAGAGTCTTGAATACATGCTTCTCTTTTTGGATCATTTTCAGAGACATTCCTGGGACCAGACTGAGCAAGACTCCTCTCCCTCCCAAGGTCAGTGCTGTAATTCCATGGTGTTTTATCTTCTGGTGAACATGGTCTGAGTTCCACCAGCCCACCTCGGATGCTCTGCCCTCTGTAGACATGGTGCTTGTGAGAGGTTTTGATATTCTAGAAGCTGTTTCACTTTGGTTTTAGGAAGTGGTTTCTAGCTCAAGAAACAAAATTACTTGTTCTTGCGAGATCCCTTAGTCAAAGGCCAGAAATACTTATCTAGTCTGGATAATCATGTGAGTTTTGAGTGCTTCCCTAACTTATCTTTGGCTTTTGATGCTCTTGCTGTGGATGTCTGTAAAGCCCTTCACTACAACACTTTAAACATGCTTGATAAGAAACCAGAAAACAGTAAAGGGTCTAGATGTTCATGAAAATGTTGTTGCTGGGATTTATCCCATTTATCAGTCGCTCCCAGAAATGTAAGTAGGTGAAGTTTGGCTCCCATAAGCTCAAGCAAGACTTGAGCCTTTGAAGAGACTGCCAGCTGAATTTCCTTCTTCTGTTGCTACTGATGAATGGTTGAGGTAGGAGAGGCTTCAATTGGGATGTTCCACTTGATGCTCATGAAAGCAGTTCTGAGGCTTCTGCTCTGGGATGTGAAAACAGAGATAAGGATTCTGGACTGATGCCAAACACAGGAGACTGTTCACTGATAAAGTGAAATAAACCATCCAAAATAAGTGTCTGGGCTTTTATAAAAATGGCTTTGATTAACTTCCTTGTGAATAATGATTTGAAGTAAAATATAAATGTGGAAGTTAATCTAGCTAAAGGGGATAGCTTGAGGAGTGTTCTAGGGTATATTAATGCCATTTCATGTAGAACACCTTCAATGAATGGCTTTTTTTGCCCAAAGCTCTGCCTTTTTGGTAAAGTACCTGTTCACTGCTTTACAGATGCTCTGAGGAACTGGGAATTGCTGGCTCATCCTTCTGAGGATCAGAGTCTCATAGTGCAGAATGTCCTGCAGATGGGCTTTGACCCGAGCTGGGTGGCAAACCTGGTAGAGAATAAATTTGCGCTGACTGGGACTTTCTACCAGTCTGAGTCTGAGCTGATTTCAGACCTGCTGCAGGCAGGCTGGGGGGCCAGCAGCAGTGCAGGAGGGAGGAGAGGTAGGCCTGACTCACACCTGGGTGTTTCACCTCTTCCTCTCTGCACCTGGAGCGCTGCTGGGAGTGTCCTGAGGGTCTGCTGGAATTAAGAGGGACAATGCCCCCAAGCCCGCCTTTCCTTGGGAGCCTGAGCAATGAGGCTCTGAGTTAAAGAAACCTGGAGGAGCTGTGGTTGCTGGGATGTCAGTGGCTCTATCTGGCTGTGCTGGGTTTCCTTGGTGTTTCTTGCTTCGCTCAGACCTGCAGAAAGTGGCACTCCATGATGTGCAGGCTCATGCACAAATTCACAGCTGACCCAGGCAGAGGCAGTTGTCTGAAGCAAAGCTCCTGGGATGGATAATCACTCCAAGCCTATTTAAAATTGGAACCAATAACCTGTTTAGAAATAGCTATAGTTCTTGTCTAGATAATATATCTTTGCCTTAACTTCTGTCTTGTGTTACCTTTTTTGTGAAGTCTGTTTGCTAAGTTGAAGATTCCAAAGCTCCTGCCTCCACAGCATGGTCTGCCATTTCTGTAGCTAACATGGAAAAAATTCCACAAAACTGAAATTTTGATTAAATAGTAGCACAGGAGCTGGAATGGCCAGCTGATGTGATATATAAACCACCTTTGAGGAGAGAATGTGATGTGGACAGACAGGCCTGGGCAAGGAGGTGAACTTAAACAGCTGCTGAAGCACCACAGAGAACATCAGCCATGTCAGGCTGAGATAAGAAATTAACCAAATGCTTCTGAGGTCCAGGTTATTTCTTCTTTTCACACAGCACTGTCAGAAGAGGGATAAAGGAGGGAGCATTGAATACCATTTTCTTTTCTGGTTCTACAGGTGCTGTTCAGAGAGAGACTGGAACATCAAGACAAGAAATACACTCTGTACAGCAAAAGGAATCAGGTGCTCTGGGCTGGCAGTGTGGGGAATTGAGCTTAAGCATGACTGGGAGGAGTTCTAGAATAACAGTATCAGTAGTCATTATGCTAACTCATTTTTTAAATTTTGAAGAGGACTGTGTGCTAGTTTGAGTAGTACCTGAGCACAGGAACCCTTCTTCAGGGATTGGAGTGCCCCTGTGAAGGAGCTGTTACCAAAAAAATCCACTTTATGGGGATAATTTATGTAGCACAGTAAATGCTGTTGATCTGTGTCCCTGCTCAGTCCAGTGAGTGTAGATAAGCCAGTCTACAATAGCTGTAGTTCTTCAGCTTAAATGAAACTTGCCTGAGAGGTATTTTTGCCATCTTCACAGTCTCTGAACAGAGCAATGGTCAAGTTGCAGTGTGACTTCCTAAGCTGTCACAACTGGCACTCTGGAGCTGTGACAAAACACTCACAAGTTTGTTTTTTTTTGTTTTGTTTTTTGGTAGAGTCTCAGCTGAGCACAGAAGAACAGCTCCGGCGCCTGCAGGAGGAGAGGATGTGCAAAGTGTGCATGGACAGAGATGTGTCTGTTGTGTTTGTTCCCTGTGGCCACCTGGTAGCCTGTGAAGCATGTGCCCTCAACCTGAGGCTGTGTCCCATCTGCAGAGCTGCCATCCGGGGCAGTGTGAGAGCCTTCATGTCCTGAGCCATGCTGCACCCAGGGGGAAAGATAAGTCCATACAACTCATTGGTAACTCAGGAGAAGGATAAAAAAAGTAAATAATTTGCTGGAGCAATCTTATTTGTAGGGTGGCTTGGCATAAGTGTAAAAACTCACTGAATGTGTCTCCCATACACAGTGTTTGTAGGAAGAACTGCTGGTTTGATCTCCTCTTGATTTAGGGCTGCTCCAGGAGAACTCTGCTGGGTTCTTTTGCCCTCCAAAATGAGGCTTTTATTGACAGAGATTCTCCCTCTCCACATTTTTGTGTTCTCAAGTGAATCTTTGCTCTGTGTTGAAATCCAAGACTGTTTTCAGCAGACTCTGGTTTTTTCTCACTCACTTAGCATTTGTCTAGAGATTATTCTCTTAGGGATTCCGTCAGGAAGTTTGATTGAAAATGGGAGTATTTTTTGTACAAAACGCATTCCATTGGGACTGGAATACTCAGCAACAATGTGTTGTGGGGGAGGGACAATCTACCTTTTTCTCCCCTTTTTGCTGTCTTTCTTTTTTCTCCCCTTTTTGTTGAATTTTCAACAACTGATGAAACGTTTCAGTAATACTCAAATTTGCATAACTAAGTGGAACAGTCTGGCCTAACTCTCCAGGCTCTCTGCTCTCAGCTGACCTCCCTTGGTGGAAGGCTCTGTGCTCAGGGTCACTGGATGGTCTCCTGGAAGCTTCTTATGGAGCTCTTCCCTGGCTCTTGGGTATTATCCTGGTAGGAAACTCTGGAAATATACCTTTTTAGAAAATATCTTTGCTGGCTAAAGTGGTGATTCTTATTTGAAATGGAATACTCTATCATGTAGCCAAAAAGAGTAAGTTTCATCCATGCTATGCCTTGTTAAGTGAAGGGAAAGGAAGTAAGTTTTTAAAAATAAACTGTTCTTTTTCATGGAATAAAATTTTTCCTTTATTTAACTTAAAGGTTTGAGTACCTGATTTGAGTACAATTCCCTACTGGGGGAGGGGTGTGGTGGTGTCCTAAGATGTTGGAGTGACATCAGGTTGTAAACAGCATCTGTCCTTCAGTGCTACGTGAGCATGAGTAAGAAAAGCAGCTCTTTTACCATCCATCAGTCCCCATTGGAATTTACCAGACAGCATGTGGGTCATAGAGCCTTAGAATGGTTTGGTTGGAAGGGACATTAAAACTCATCTCATTCCATCTCCTGCCACGGGCAGGGACACCTTCCACTGTCCCAGGTTGCTGCAAGCCCTGTCCAAGCTGGCCCTGGACACTTCCAGGGATGGGGCAGCTACAGCTGCTCTGGGCACCCTGTGCCAGGGCCTCAGCACCCTCAGAGGGGAGAATTTGGCTCCTTAAAATTCTCTTAAACTGCAAAAGAAGGGATAAGGATGAAGGAGAATAAGGATCTGATACATGAAACTGTGCAAATGCAGAATAATTCTGATCTGAATTCTTTGCGGTTTTGGTAGGTGGTTCTTTTTAGTGGATTTGTGGCTCTGGAGCTGCTTCCCTTTGGTTCCAGCTCTGGTTACTAAACAGCTTAGGGGCCTGCCTGTGAGTCACTTTAAGGTGTCAGTTATCTGTGGATCCCATGGGAGGGCAGCTCTCTTCATCCCTGCCTTCAGAGGAAGGGAATATTAGCACAGTTCTTGGCAGAGATGAGAGAAATTAAGACTTGAGTGGTTTAAACTCTGAAGCTCTTGGAGGAATTGGTTGGGTCTCTGCCAGACAGCAGCTTTGCTAGGGAACAGAATGTCACCACCATGCCAAGTTAGGTCTTGTCTGGGTTCAGAATATCCTTGGCTTTGTTTTGCCTCTATAAATACAGCATAAACTTACAGTTTAAATAGATGTGCTAATCTGAGGAGGGAAAACACCAGCCCAGTGCTGGAACAGTGTTATTTATTTCCTCTAAACTCACCTGAGTGTGACTGGAACTGAGCAAGGCTGGAACTGCACCAGCTCTTTCTGGGGCTAACCCCATTGAACGGTGTGAAAATGGTGAATGGCTTTTCCACCCCAGGGAAAGGGAGGAGCTGCTTTGTTTTCCTGCAGGGAAATGTCCCTTCAGAACCAGGTACCACGCTGTTATTTGAGAAGCATCTCCAGCGATGCCTGTCCCCAACAGAGGGCACTCCGAAACTGGAGATAAGGGATCCCACCACCTTCAGCTGCTCCTGGATCACGCTGGGCATGGCATGGGTGGGGTGGAACGGACAGGCAGCCCCTGCCCTCACTGAGCACTGGCACTCTGTCCCCTTGAGCTACTCAGAGGGAGTCTAGCACAAGCAGACCATGAGAGAGAGGGGATCTCAGGAGGAATGGTTCTGCTCATGAAACCTGGAGGAGATCCTGAAGTGTGGAATGCAACCCTTGGTAGCTTTGTCTCTTCTCAGACCCTTTTTTTTTTTTTTTATGATTAATAAAATCTGTCGTTGATACTGCATTTTATAGGCTTACCTGAACATGGGCTTGGTGTTTATTTTACTTCTGTTAATTGGTGCTTTATGCTACAATGAGCACAGGCAATTGAGTGGTAGTTCTGAAGTGACTCAGTCATCATATTTTATTTCATTGATCTTTACCAGTGTGTATGAAAGCTGAGGGGCAATGCTGTTAAGTGCAGAGTTTGATGCTTTATCTCTTTAGAGTGCTTGGCAAGTGGTTTTGATCAGTTTAATTGGTGAAAGTGGCATCAGAGCTTGGTCAGTTGGAGAGGTGTAGTGTTAAAAACATGTAGACCTCAACTCAAAGTTCCCTCCTCTTCCTTCCCTCAATTCTTCCTGGAAGTACCAGTAAAATGTTTCAGGTATTCAGAGCTGAAACTGTCCTTTTTCCACCACCTGTGCTGAATTTTGATTGCTCCCAAACAAGGCTGACAAAGACTGCTGGTATCTGATTGATAATATTCTCTCTGAGGAAAAGAAATCATATTAAACCCAGAATGTGTGAACTCAGTGCTTAATGAGAAAAGGAAAGATTAATTTGAAAAGGCACAAACAAATGAAATCTTTAATGGGAAAATCTCATTGACTAGAGGATGTGTATTCTTTTTGGTTTTCTGCCTTTCCAGGGAACATCAGGTGGACAGACAGGAATGACAGTGATCCATAAAGAAAGCGAATAAAGGAGTGGTGGAGAAAGCATTCTAAATGTGTGCACACTATGTGTGATCTCAAAATGGAGAGTAGCTTGTGTTTTATTGGTACTTTTTAATTTGGTAGTGACACAACGTTAATAATAAAGGAGGTACTTGTCTTTTGTCATGCAGAGCTGTCAGGGCTGAGCTTTTTTTCTTTGAGGTATTAAACAAGGATGAAACTAGTTGTCTGTTTTGCTCAGTCAGAAGCTGTGGATTTTGGTGCCTTAAAAAAAGGGAAAAAACCACTCTACAGAAAACAATACTTTTACTTGCAGCTGCACCCAAGCAGAACTCAGGATATTTGAGTCTCTGGAATAGAAGTTGCACAGAGGTAAAAAATACTCTCTCAGTGCCTATGCATTTGGGTTTATAAAAGAGGATTTTGCATCCTGGGCCCTGTGGAATGAGACAAAAGAAAGCTGCATCATTCTGTCTTTGATTTAGCACTTAATGTTTTTATTTTTGTTTTTAATTCTTCCCTCACACTTCTCCCTAGCATGGCTTCAAGCTTGACCCTTCTGAAAAGCATTTCTCAAAAAATGCCAAGTAATCCCAAACAAATTAGGCAAGACAATAATGAATTACAACAGCACTTGAAGTATCAGCCCAAATATGCCAGGGCTGGCTGACAACTGCTCCTCTTCTGTTTTTGACACTTCACATGCTGGGAGACACAGCTAACAAAACTGACTTGGTTTTGTTCTTTGTTTTAATCAACTGCTGCAGCTCATTAATGCAACTTAATTACACTGGCATTCCCCCTTCAGCCCTTTCCCTCCCCTCAAAAAGCCTGTCAGAAATGAAACTCTCCCACCAGGCTGTCACCATGCAATAGGTGTGGCTCCAGGTGAAGAGGGCAGGTGCAAACCCACCTCTGCTCCATGAGGAACTGGGCTTTTTCCAGGGCCTGCAGCAGGATCCAGCCACACCAGGGTTAATTTAATGTAGCTGGGCAGACCCAGATTAGGCTACAGCTGCTCCAGGGACGGCTGGGCTGGTTGGACGTGGGGTGAAGCTGCATGCTGAGTGAAGAGCTGGTGGCTGCAGTGGTTTTCAGCTGTTCAGCATTACAGGAGCCAGGCCACACTGAGCTCCAGGACAAAAGCCTACTGCCAAGTCTACAGAGAACGAGCAAGGGGGTCCTGACTGGGGGCACAAAGGGGGGAAAAGTTCTCACCTATCACTTAGAACCCAGCAATGCCTAAGTAACTCGAGTGTAAAGAGCCCCCACCTCATTTTATGCAGGCAGGGAGGAGATGAAGTTGTGTTAGGGTGTTTAGGCTCTGTTCAGAAAAAGGGAGGAGACTAACTACAGAAAATATGAAATGTCCCAGGGTGTTGTACAGTGCTTCCTTCTTTCTGGATCCATGGCACAAGGAAGCAGCTCCAGCTTCAACTGCAGCTCTTGAGAGAGGCTCTTGGTGAACTTGGTCTTTAGGCCTGTGCCATTTCTGGGCCAGTACCAGCAGACTGTGGTAGGAAAGGTTCGTCAGGGCACTTGGAGGATTAAAAACCAACGGTGTGGCCGTTCTGTGATGTACATTCATTGCGTTTGAAAAGAAGACAAGGAACGGAAAAATGGAGTGGAGTTCACAATCCTGCATTTCCTCTGCCAAAGATCCAGGCCCCAGGGGACTGTTTCCTGCAGCACCTTTGGTGGAGTGCAAGGTTCATCCATCCTCTGGCTCCTCTTCACTTACGCAGGCCTAGAAGAGAGGGAAAAAGATAAAGGCAGGATGTGAGTGTGGAGCAAGAACTCAATTGATTTCTTTATGTGACAGAAATGTTGTGGAAATAATGAGGACAAATTTTTCTTTCCTCTTCTGGACTTTTAAATATTATTGACTACAGATGAGGAATAGGATTGAGAGCTCACAAGTAATGTGGTTAAGTAGTCTTCAAGGCTGGAAAGAATTCAATGCACATGTCAGACCTGAATATGCTGCAGTTAGGCTCAAGTGTTAGATCTATGGATCCTCAGCATTTGGAGCTGCATAAAATGTGGTTAGAAACTTAAAAAGCTAAGGGTCATCTGTAGCATAAAGGAGCTGCTTGAAATTGCAGTGATGTGCTGTTGGTGTAGGTGCAGCGGGATAAGCAGATCTACTTTTGGAGCCAGCAGTAAAGGTGAGTGAATGCTTTTGGCTGAAACATCACCTCTTACACATGCAGCTTCAGGATGATCAAAAGAGTTTGCAAATTCATGTTGTTTGTTTGGGAAAAAGTCTACCTAGAAAGAGAAGCAGAAGTGTTTTGTTGTGTGTTTTTTCTCTCCTCAGAACAAAGTGGAATTTTTTCCTGTTTAAGTTTCCTTTGTAAATTATTCTGCTTGTCAAAATTTGGAGAAGACAGGTGAGAAAACAATTCTAAAGGAGTTTTCCTCCCTCTCCTTCTTATTCCAGTGTTTCAGTCTTGGACTTTGTCTATTTGACTAAATGTTCTTTGTGTGCTTGTACATATTGGTGTATTGAAGAACCCACTTTAGGCCAGTAGGGGATGATGTTTTATGGGGACAAGTCCTTTAATGCTCACAGCTCTTCGTGCCTCTGGCCAGCAGACAGTGGCCCACAAAGATTGATCAGAGAGCATTAAGGTGAGAAATTGCCAACTGGAGCCTCAGATCCCTCAATTAACCAATACCTCCTGTTGCTGCCCTGTCAATACTGAGGTCTCCATCAGAAAAAAGTCACACCCTGTGCTAACACAGGGCCCTTTCCACCGGGAGATCTGAGGGAAGGAAAGTCCATAAAATCTGGCTCCACAAGTCAAATTAAAGCTCTGAAGCCCCTGAAGTGATGCAGGGCTTGA